CTTAGAGAGACAATTTACCAAAAGAACACTTGGACACTGTTGCGAAATTCATAGAGGAAAATACTAAAGGAGTGAAACCACAGACGACTATTCTCCCGTGTTTGCAGAGGAAGACATTTGCTATCAAAAACTATGAGAAAGTGGAAGAATTATTAAGGAATGTATGCACCACAGATGAACAGTTGATAACGTTGGCGACTATGACACAATTCATTAAAGCGGGAAAGGGATTCCATTTGACACCAGAAATGAAAGAAATGATACAACTCCTTGTTCAACATTGTGAAATCGACCAAACGAAGTTGCCGCCCGTGTTGGACTTATTTGGTGGGTTGTGTTTGAAGTGTATGGACGCAGTGAAATACTTTGAGACGGTGTCTGTGTACTCGACACTCCAACACACGGTCTTTGAAATGATCAAAAACAACACAGCAACAGGACCAATCAAAGTCATGTTCATCAAATTCTTGGCGAATTGCTTTGTCACAACTCCACCAGAAATCTTCATGCATGTGGTGCACTCAACATATCCAGATTTGTATGCCTTCTTTAGAACAGAGATGACTGCCGCAATTCAAAGTAACAATTTGAATGTTCAAGGCGCGATTTCCGGCGTTCTTCTCAACTTGTCTATCAGTGCTATTAACTCGAGTATTGCTGGGATGCTCGCAGATGGACTCTTTGACTTCCTAATTGAGTTGTTTATGATCACAACAGACGATAACACTCGTGCAGTGCTATTACTTGGGATCGGCAATTTCATGAAGCAGGACTTCCTTGTGAGAAGAGACTTTATTAAGAACACCAAGCTGATGGATATCATCAAAAATAATAAGAACAAAACAATCCAAGCAATCAACGACGAGATCAACGAGTTGGTCTTGGGCGTAAGCAATTGATTATTTCCTTCCCGTTTCTGTTCCCCGAGAAGTCAAATGTACATTCACAATCAATAAATGTCGTTATTTCTCGTTATACAACCTCCTCCGACTCAAAACTCTCTTGGAGTAGCATGACCATCTGCCTGAATGTGCTCACGCTATTTCTCATCCCTGCACTGACAACTTGTGCCATGAGGGTGTCCGCTTGGTCACACCCAAATGTGAACTTGCCTTGCATGTAGTTGATCAACATTTTGTGTTGGGGGTTCTTTCGAATGTAATTCTGTTCGTTCGAATACACAAATATCTATGCATTAATATCAGTTTATATCAAAGTGATTGCTATTGAACGGACAAACGTGGATAATGAAAATGTTGTTCTGCTCTTCCAAAGTGAAATCGTAGATGTTCTTCATCTTTTCAACAGACAGGGAGTTCCCACACAACGTCGCCAAGGGCTCGATGTCCGTGAAGTTTTTCATGACTGTTGTCTTCTTCGCAATGAAGTTCATCAAGTTTTTCGCATCAATCAACATCCCACTCTTCAAAGGATTTGAAAACTTTGCGTTGAAGAATTTGGTGAATGGGTCTGGCTGTGGTGTTTGGATGAGTGTAGCTGTCACAAGCGTGTCAAGTGGGATACAAGTTGGTAACTTGAGTGATAAATCTTGTCGAATTGATATTCGGTAGTTCCGGTTCTCAATCGAACGCGTTGTTTGGTTGCATACAAATTCAATCACCAACATGATGTGAATCAATCCCAATAACATTTTCATGTACTTTTCAATTTCATTCACTTTAAAGTTGTTTGGTATTTGCTTCATCGTCTCTTTAAACACCTCCAATGGAAATTTTTTCTTCCCAAAGTTGTCGAGTGTCTTGTGGTGCAAATTCATCGTCTTGTCCTCCATCTTCGGAATAAATGAAAAGAAGATGACAAACGTCTGATCATTTGCTTTCTCATCTTCCGTGCTAATAAACAAAGTGACAGAGGAAAATTCCATGACATTAACAGATACACACGACATGTTCATCCCTTTCAGTACTTCCAGAATTGAGTCAAAGTAAAGGGTAAACATACTCAAACTGTTCAGTAAAGAGTTGCAATTCGACAGCGCAATACTCTTTTTATTTCCCTCCCCTTTCGGCGAATCAAAGAACTCAAACTTGAGTATCTCCGACAAGTGTATGTACTCCTCGTTCAATGTCGTGACTATTTGAATCGTGTCAAATGTCTGTGACACAAACTCAATCGAAAACCCTTTGAAAACAATTGTGTTCTCGCTGAACGAAACCAACCTCTCGACGCATTTGACCGCAAACGCAACGACGTGTATGAACTTAATAAACGCCTCGGTACCTTCAATGACATCAGTGTCAACATTTCTCTAAAAGTTATTTATCTCTCAAATTATATCAAAATCTAATCATTTTTGATAACTAAAAACAAACCTTTGGTATCATAAAGCGGATGTATTTGTCTTGTATCTGCACACGATTACTCGGTTTGAACTTATCCAAATTGACACTTTTCAGCCCAACAGAGAGTATGTAATACTCATCATCGGGTGGTTGTTCAATAGTCGCCATAAATGGCAAATTCGAGTTGAAGAGAATGAACCCACTCTTTGTTTTCGATGACGTAACTGACGAATTTAAACTTGCTAACGTCTTTGGGAATTTGTCTTTGAATGATTCCATATACATTTTGGTTCTGTTCGTTATATATACCATTCATTATTGAATTATTATAAGTTAAGGAAACAAACGAATACTTTGAATACGACTCCGAGCAAAATCGATAGACCTTTTCAACATAAAACGGCAGTGTTTGACTGAACACTTCTTTTGAGCACGACGAGTAATTCACACCATCAGCTCCTTTAAATCCAACGCACACCATCGTCTCTTCCTTTTTCTTGGTCACCTCATTGGTTTTTTTCGTGACAAAGAATATGAGCGACCGATCCTCAGACATTTGAATTTTGAAAAGCATCCCACACACAACGTTTTGAAGTACTTCACTGTTTTGGAAAACACGAGGAATCAACACCTCCCCACGTATTTGATCAAACTTCTTTGTATGGGTTTCAATCGGTTCAACCATTTCTGGCCCGACTCTGACCAACTCTTTTTCGATAAAGAAGAGCGAAGCCCCTTGGTAGATTTGGGAGAGTCTCGTGTGTGCGTACAAGTCATTATAAACGGGGTGGAGTTGGTCGAGTGGTATTTTTGTCATCATATCTGCGTAATACGCAGTGATTTCCTTTGGCAAAAAGTGTGAAACGAGTGTGATTTTCCCAGTGAATGGTGCAATTTGAATGTCCGCAAGAATGACTTCATCAGAAAAGTCCTTTTGAAGCGCTTCCCAAAATACGCGTCTTGTTTGTTTCGCACTTTCCCTTGCTACAAACACCAGTTGTTCAAACAGAGTTTTTGTTGTGTCGATTTTCAGTTTGACGATCCCGTTGTGTGACACAAAAAATTCCGAAGTCTTGGTCCTCAAGTGATACTCCAAGTACATTGCATTGCTCCAATAATTAATTTTCAGTACTTTTTCCGTTGTATTCGTAACTACACTTGTCACCATTTTCGGGAAATTCTCGATAATCAGTTTGCTCTTTGTAAGTTCGACAAGTGCCTCGAAATGTGCGTTTTTCGCCTTCGCATCGAGGACGTTGATCATCTTTGGTATTGTATTCTCCATGAATTCCGCACTCCCCAATTTGACATTAACTTCGTTGACCAATTCGTCACTTGCCACCGCCTTTTGTGGTGTAAAAAATTGGAGTTCGACAATAGACCAAAACGGGGGAATCTTCTTGCAAAAAAGACTGTCTGGGTTCCCCACAGTGACCCAACATGTAAACGAATTCGTTTTTGTTATCATCATCACTCCCTCTACAATATCGACTTTATCACATTGAATCGCTTGATAATTGGTGTACAAATACTTCCGGAGATATCGATTAATTTTCGCTTTCACAACGTAATAGTCGGGGACTTGGTAAGGTATTTCAGGGAGTGGAAACGTCCCGTTAAGTAGAACTTGAAGTGCAGTGACGATGTGTGGAAATCCCCGTCGTTGCATGACGGTCTCGTTTGCATTTCGGTTGAATTCTTTGATATTGGAGTGGAGTTGGAGGATTGATTGGTGGCAAATAGCGTTGAACGTCGTGATGTCGTGAAGAACTGGGTTACGACCAAGCCACCTTGAAATGACTAATAATTTGCCTAATAAATGTTCGTTTCGTTCCAACGTCCGAATAATTTCGTTTCGTTCACCACTCTGAAACGCTTCGCTGAGATCGTGAGATATTGCACACACGCCATTTTGAATGATTAAAGGAAGAGTGGGATCAGCTCGTCTTTTTTGCATTCTACTTTTTATTTTTCTCTTTTCTTATCAAAAAAAAGGTTTTTTGTTTGATGTTTTTTAATTAAAATTTCTCTTTTTTCTTGTGAGTACTTTTTTTTTGGCTTTTTTTGGTGGTTTTTTTCTAATAGTTTTTATTAAAAATATAGTTCTATTCAAAAAAAAGGTGCAAAAAAAATGAAAATGTTAGATTATGAGAAGATTGTAACTTATTTAATTATTACGAGATAAAAACAAAGATACAGAAAAATAAAAAAAAATTGTTTGATATTCAATTTTTTTTTGAATAATATTTTTATATTTGTTTTTAAGTAACAAAAAGTAATTGTCAATTATTAATCTAAATGTATTAAAATGTCTAGTTTCTTTTTGAACTTAAAAATTATTCAAAATACAAAATTTTAATTTTGTTGTTAAAAACAAATTTAATGTTCCATCTTTTTTTTGATAATATATAGATTTAAAATTAACATAATTTATGTTTTAATCAAAATTTATAGGAACCCATTTTGTTTTCAAAATCATTTTGTATTGAGATTGTGAAATATTATAAACTGTTTGTAAATAATAACAATATGGTACAGTAACAAATCAACTTATTCCAATTTTTTATAGTACGTGATAGCAATGATGTAAATGTTGTAGGATATAAGTGCGATGATTCCGGCGATGCAAACAGGCAAGAAACTAACATTTTGAATGACACGCACGTTGTAAGCTGCAATCTTTGTCGCTGTGACAATCAAAATCTCGTTATTTCCATCGTTGCTCAGATCACCGAAAACTGGCCCCATCACAGGCTCTCCCTGGCTCTCGATATTATGCTCAACCATAAGATCACCATTGAGATTCACAACAGCAATGTTCTTACTTCCTTGAACGATGATGTACCGATTGTTGGGTTGAACTTCCTTTTGGTCTTCATTTTCAAGAGAATACAAAAACAAAGCAAGGTTGCTTTTGTGTGTTTGGTCTTCTTTTGCTAAAAAGAGTCTCGACACCTTCGAGTTCCACAAGAACTTTCCATTATAACCTACAGCAGTCAGCAATCCATCTGAGTTTATTACAACAATGTTGTACAACTCACTCCCATCACTTTTTCTTTCGAAGGCCGGTACCAACAGTGGTGGTAACACCTCTATTACATGTTTATCTTTTTTTCTTATCAAATCAAATCTCATAGCGGGCTTGCATGCGTTTTCTGAGAACAAATACTCATAGGAATTTGCCGCAATCACTTGGACCATACATGTGAGGTCTTCGCCTGAATTTTGGACATCAACTTCGTGTGAATATTGATTGACAAACACTTCTTCAAGAGCGTCATCCCCGTTGATATCGGCAAACGCAGAAGAACCCGCGTCCGACGTCGCTCTAAGAGACAAATGGACAAGTGGCTTTCCCGAAAAAAGGTGTACGGCTTCCAGCCCATTTTTCTGGTGGATGACGACCACATTTGGGTTAGTTATTCTGTCAATTTTCGTCTTTGTCTGTACTTTCATTCCGGGCATCTCCAATCTCGAGTTGTCATAAGTTTCGGGGTTGCTTGTTAAATCACGTGAAAAATGAGAAACGGTGATTTGGGTGTCTCGGAACGAAGCCCATTGATGGGGCAGGTTTTTGTAAATAGAATCATGGAATTCGTGCCATTGTATCTCTTCGGCCCCCTTATAACTCATCCCAAACAACTTAGAAAGTTTGTACTCACCAGCCACATCAGTGTTTTTAACCAAGTCTAAATAATCTTGATCATCATCGACTTCATGCTGCCACACCACTTGACCATCTTTGATACTCAAACAATAATAGTTCATGTGGTCGACTGTCTCTTGGTCGATGTTGTCGTCGTCATACATCAGATCTTCCTTTTGCTCTTCGAATGTTCTATTCAACGTCACGCGAAGGTCTTCTTCAAATCCAACATTGTTGTTGTTGTACCAATCTTGTGTGGTTCGGAAGGCTAAAATTACACCACCGTTTACTTTTGTTTGTATGACGTAAGGTACAACAAGACCAGACACTTCCTCGACATATGTTAGTGCGTGCTCTTTGTAGACGTTGTTGGTCCAACGAAGGGTCAAGTCCGAGTTGAAACAGAGAACATCAAAGTTTCTAAGAACCACGATGACAGTTTGTTGTCGTGGCTCATTTCTGACGAACGGTTTGTCATATCCTGTTGTCATGTATATTGGTTGTGACGATGAAGGGATAGTGGCAGTTTGCTTGATGACCAAATTTCCTTTTTCGTATTTGTACATTATCAGTTTCCCCACACCATAAGGTGCCACTAAAATTTCATTTAATCCATCCCCATCTATGTCACTAATTATTGGAACGACGCTTTACGTTATTTCATAAGAGCCTGTGGATTCATACACCGCACAAAATGGGTAAAATGAAAAAACCAAACTTCAATGTTGACCCAAGGTTTGCAGCGTATTTTTCCGAAAAGAGTTGTTCCATCTGTGTCAAAGATTGGCCCTTCAGTAAGAATATCCAAAGGCAAAAACAAGCGACTAATACAACCCACTTGAACACGTTCATTTCTTTTTTTAAGATCTGGTATGAAAAATTGATTGCTGATTCAAATGGTTTGTTATTTGTTTCTTTTCTTATTTTTATAGTAAATAAGAAATAAAATAAAATATCAATCAAAATTGTCTCGTAAACGAGGCTGTCTCTTCAACAACTTGCCATCTTCCCGTTTTCTACGTTTCTCGATGACGTTTTTCAACTTACTTCCATACGTCATTTCATCGATTTCTCCCTTCAAATCCTTTCTTGAAACGAATTTAGGGTTCTTCCCACTCATTACTCTGTCCGAGTTTTCTTGCAAGTGTTGCAATTTTGCTTTCTCTTCATTACTCTTTTTTTTAATCATTGTCAGTCGTTGGCTCTTTTCGTTATTTCGATTCAAATTGCAATATTTAACAACAAACGATCGTTTGTTTTTTCCTTTTCAATTCCTCTAGCTCTTCGGGGTCTTGACACTGTTTAATTTTAGTTTTAAGCTCGTCGATCTCCATTTCTTGTTTTTCGACGAGGAATTTATACTCTTCTGCAAATTTGAGCATTGAAGGAGGTTTCTCGTTATCGTCCAACACGAATCTTGGATCGCGTGTGATTCTCTTTTTTGGCTTAAAAATTTCGATGTTAGTGGAGACGGGTGTTTTCGCGCTGAGCTCCTGAGGGATTGTGCCCTTGTGTCTTCCCATTCAAACCTAAATTTTTGTTCAAATTTTTTTCTTTGATTTTTTGAAATTGGGTGGTATTAAAATTTACTAAAACATTTTATTAAGTTCCTAAACTGGAAATCAAATGGACACGGAAGACAAAAAGGCGTTATCCCAAAAAGAGCAACGAATTATTACTCTCTTACTAAATGAGCAATTTGGCTTGCGTTCAAACATTCCATGTGCTGAAGTGTTAGAAGAAGAAGAGCTGATATATGATTCTTTAGCAAAGGGTGACCAAGTCGTCAGCAAAATGGATAAGACAATTGGTTCGATGGCTTCTCTCTTTTCTGGTGCCCACACAACCATCGACGGACTTAACCAAAAACTCGAAGACGCAACGAATAACAAAGTGGACAATACAATCGACCAGCTTAAGAAGGAGAAGAACAGTTTGTTACTAAACGCATGAAGTATAGTTTCTTATTAATAAAAATATTATAAATGAATAGTATTAACATGTAGTGTTTCAAAACACACTTAACCTGATCACTGAAGTCGATGTCACTCTTAAACTCTTGTCAGGCATAGCTCCACGTCTAGATAAAATTGATAGTTTTAGTACGTGCACAGACGTTTTAAACGATTGCATCAGAATCTCGAAATTCATGACTGACCGTCAATCGTATAAATTGTATTCCACGCATGAGTCTGAGATCAGGAATAACCTCCAAAATGCGTTTGATAGAAGTGTGTTGTACTTCAAAGAAGTGTTTGAAGAGATTTCGAGATATGAGGAGTTATCCAAGATTCTTCTTAAAGAGTCTTACGTCGACCAGACCAAACTAAAGTTATTAAAAAAGGCGATGCCATTGATCTTTGAGGCTGGCACGTTATTAAAGGCGAATGCGAAAGATGTGTTTTCAGCGATCTATGAGAATAGAAATGCGTATTTAATTTCAGTAGTCCAAGCAATAGAGTTACCTCAACTAATAGAAAAGACCGAAATAGTCGAATACACTGTGGGGTATACCAATGGCAAAAATCAGTTTATTACGACGATGAAATATATACTTTCCCTCTTCCAGAATGAACGGATCTTTCAACAAGACATCCTTCAAAACGACTTTGACCAATTCTTTAGTGCGTCGACGTTAGACTCATTCAAACTCTTTAAAGACTTATACGTCACCTTTGCGAATAAATTGAAGCTACTTGATACCCCATTCTGCGTGTTTCCTATACTCGATGTGCTGGAGGTGTACCAAGACACTAAACAAGACTTCATTAATGCTTTACGAGTCAATGAAGATCCTAAAAAGCAGAATAAAGGGTTTATTACATTAGAAAAGGGGATCAATGTCTTGACATCGACGTTTACGTTTGGTGCGGAGAAGAAGGAAGAAGAGGAAGACGACTTGTTTGTTGAGAACACGACGGAGGACAAACGGGACTCGCAGACGAAACAAGTTGATTCGTTGTTTGATACGATCTTTTATGATGTGAAAGAGCAGTTTTTAAAGTTCCGTGATGAAGTGTTAGTTGACTCGACGTTGAACAAAATCTTCTCGTGGACGGAAAGTAATATTCCGATTGATGGGACTGTCAGTCAACTTGCTGCGGATACGATGCACTACTTATCGAAGCTTGAAAAGTTTTTGCCGCATTTGATAGAGTATATGGTACGAATCTATAAAGAAGCTCAAGTTAATACTGCACAAGAACCGACTTCTGGAGCTTCAGAAACAGTAGTTGGGATGTATGTACACACGTGTATTGATAATTTATGTAAAATGGTAGTTGCGAGAGGAGAGAAAGAAAAGACCCGACTTGGGATGTTATTTATTATGAACAACTACGCATTTATTATGAACGTCTGTAAGTTGGACGGGTTTGAGAAATTGCTTGGGAAGTCAACACAAGACACCGTCGAGAAGGCACTGTCGGGGACGAAAGAACATTACCTTTACGCGTATAAGAACACGTTGAAAATGATCACAGACAACTTACTGTCGAGACCCGGGAAGTCAAAAGATATAAAAAAGGCGTTTGAGACGTTTAATAAAGACTTCCAAGCGTTACATACTGTCTCTTCAACATATTCAGTCTATAACGACGAATTGAAAGAAGACTTGAGACAAGTCCTTGTCGAGTGTATACAAACCCCTTATGCAGAGTTCTATGCCAATTACGTCAATAACAAATTCACACAAAACCCTTCAAAATACTTTTTATATACGGAGAAGAGCGTGGCAGACTGTATTAACTCGATGTTCACTGCACACGGAGAAATCGAGAAAGACTCGCTGGATATCACAGAACATATCCCGGACTTCTTGAAAAGCTTACCACACTTCATGCCTAAGATCACAACACTCTCTAGCTTGGCGACTCCACTCCAGAACATGCCACAGAGACTTAAAAATATATCAAATAAGCCAGTCACATTCTTGAAAGCTGCTCCTAATATGTTCAAGAGTCCACTGAAGACATCAAAGAAGCTGATTAAGTCGATCAATCCATTCTAAGTGATGTTTTCATGTTTCGAGTCACTTTTTTTTGTTATTGTTGGGAATAACATTTTTGTGGGATTTAGAAAACTTGATATTGGAAACTAAAAATAATAATGAGCTTGGTACCGTGGCATGCTACAGCGGCTTTTTTGGAGGACGTCGACTTCCCATACCTCATAGCAGTCGAGTACGGGAAAGAGAGACAATACTTCACTGGGGTCTTGAGAACATTTGACAAATATGGGAACTTGACACTATCGGAACCGGAGGAATGCATCTTCTATAACGGATTCATGGCTAAAAGGCCACTCGGTAAAATATTAACGGTATTTGGAGAATCCGTAGTACTTTGTGGAAGATACGACGTTTGTTAATTTGTTGATTTGTCATCACGGAAGTGCGAAAAGTGACTGGAAGAAAAGTAAAAGCGCGAATATCCCGAAGAAGAGCTTTGGAGAACTTGAGAAAGAGTATAAGCAGAGTGTTCAGTTTTAATGGGGTTGAGGCAGAGAGAAGTATAGTTTAATATATTAATATGATACTAGATGAACGCGTATCATTAAAAATAATAACATTTTACTATAAGTACTAGTTACTTGATGCTACAGGCGTTGAAGAAAGAAAGTCGACTAAATGTATAAATAAAGGTATCACCACAAGCCAACTTTCACTTTCAAATTCATTTGCTTCCATTTGGGAAGAGAACTAAATTGCTCTTTTGACATTTTAAAAGCTTTGTTGAAATCTGCGTCACTTAAGAAGTGCTCAAGTTGACCGAAAGATATACTACAAAGGAATTTTGGCTTCTTTTTGAGCTCATCTAATGTGTAACTTCGCGTCAGTTGAGAAAAGATGTCTTTGATTTTCTCGACTTGTTCCGTCTCGCGGTTGAGTTCTTGATTTTCAAAAAAGACTCTGCGGAGGATTTCAGACTCGTGTTGGGGTCGAACGAAATAGCCGACTAAAATCTCTTTCTTTATTTCAGCGCATTGAATATACTCAGTGACCGCCCGTAAGATCTTTATCGTGTCTTGAAGGGTCACTTCACTTTTAATCCAACAATAGACACCCCCTTTCATCGTAACTACAATCACTTTATTATCGTCCATTGTTTGTACGGAGAGCTCGTAGAGTGTTTCGTACTCAATAACACCAGTACAAGCACTTAAAGTGAATGCATGTGGATGTTCCGGTACACTTGTGTTAAATAGATTGTTCAGAGTGAAAGTGTCTTCACATAACTCTTTGAAGATGCCCGCGTTCATTCCTATTCGTTTGATAAGTTCTATTTGTTGAGTCTTCTTTGTATTGTTTGGGGTGTTACTTTGCATTAATAGAGCCGAGTCGTTCTTCACGAGAATGTATGTACAATTCACATCTCGTGTGTGGTCTATGACTTGGACTATTCGAATGTAATCAACACCCCTCACATTCCTCACTTCATAAAGAAAAACCCCCTCTTTCGACGCATTCTTTTGAATTACTGCACCTCCACCTAACATCCCAAGTACTTCATGTTGCTCACTCCCTTCAAGCACTCGCATCTGCACACAATCAATTTTCTTCTTTTCTACAAAGTCGACGGTCAGCGCAGCAGCTTTTCCTCGATGCAACAATGACGCACTTCTTCCCAACCAAAATATCAAAGCCTTGAAGAAGATGTTCTTGTATGGGTATGTATACAAGTAGACATAACACTCCCAACTCTTCAAAATGTATTTCTCCTCTTCTGGCACTATTTCTAACTTCAAATTGTTGACTTTGTACTCACAAA